CTTCAGGGTTTGCCGGGCAGCCTCCAGACCCTATGCCCCCGGCTGGGCACTTCCCCTCCCGGGCTCCAGCTGCCCTTGGGAATCGCCGGCTGGGGGCGCAGGGTCTGGGGGCTGCCCGGGAAACCGTGAAGCTGGTAGCACTGGGGCAGCCCTTTCCCCCTGGCTGGGAGTGGGAGGGAGGAGGGGGCGGAGTTAGGGTGGGGCTAGGGGTGGGGCCAAGGCCCGTGGAGGGTCCTCTTTTTTTATTTATGAGATATGGTAACCCTAGGCTTGAGGGTACCCCACGGGGAGGAATTCCCAAGTGCGCCTTCCTGGGTCCAAAGGTTTTTTTTTTTTTGCATTTGGGTGGTGGCAGCGTTTACGAAGCCAAGGCCAGAGAAAAGCTGTAACCTTGGGAGTGTAAAACAAGCCTGGAGTGGCAAGGCTTAATTTTTGGAATCCTTGTGGGCCCCCACTTATAGAATCAGAGACTATCAAGGTTCGAAGGGACCTCAGGAGGCCATCTAGTCCAAACCCCCACTCAAAGCAGGGCCAATCCCCAGACAGATTTTCGCCCTGATCCCTAAATGGCCCCCTCAAGGATTGAACTCACAACCCTGGGTTTAGCAGGCCAATGCTCAAACCACTGAGTTATCCCTCCTCTCTGAGCAGCTTTGGCAGTTTATATACTGGGGCACAGAAGCTGAGTAAATGTTTACCCCCCCCCGTCCCATTCTCCAAATGGGTGAGAGATTCCCTGTCTTCCCTCGAAATACCCCCTCTCCTCCTGCTGTGCAAGGACGCTGGGTCTCACTCCAGAGCCTGTGCCGGCTCTTGTGGGTGGAGATGGTGCCCCTAGCTGGTTGCTCGGAGGCAGCTGGCCTCTTCTCACTTTTTGCACTTTGCACGGGGGAGTGAGTGTGAGCGAACGCGAGAAATGGTTCAAAATTCTGAGCCCAGCCACTAGCACAAAGAACAGCCCGTGCTATCCACCCAGCTCCGCCGTTGGGCAGAATCCAAAATGTTGGTGGAAAAAACTGTTTCAATTTTTAAAAAAAGTGCAAATAATTCAAGTAAAAACCCCGGTTGAAATGGAAACAGCTCGAACATTGCAAAGCTGCTGCAGCAAATGTGGTGGCCCGGGCCAGCTCAAAGCTAGCTTGGGGATGTTACATGTGCTGCAATCACACCTTTGATTGCAGTGTAGACGTATGTTCAAGTCAGGTCTGTCAGGCATCAAGGCCTGGTAGAGCCGTCTCTGGGCAACCTAACGAGCGCAGCTGGCCTGGAGTTGGCTGCCTGATTGGCTAGACAGCCTGATTGGTGGGAAGAATAAGCAGACCAGCTCTTAAGCACAGCAGCAGGTTAGCAGTTGCTGAGAACATTTGTGGTTGTACCTGTTTGGATCCAGCCTAGTTTTACTCCAGGTAACTTGGCTCTGATACCAGCTCTGACCCCTGGTATCTGGTCTGTGATTCTGGTCTCTTATTCCTGCTGATTGACTCCTGTTCCCAACACTAGGTGTGGCCACTCATGTCCTGGCTGTTGATGAGATCAACCCCAGACACATTTGCTGGTACAGTAATATTGCTAAGGGGTGTGATTTTTAAATTCTATTGTGGCAAAGCTCTAGTGTAGACACACTTGTATTGGCATAAAAGTGCCAGCATAGCTTAGCTCATTTGGGGAGCTGGTGTGATGAAGTGGGGGTTTTGTTCATCTTATGTTGCATGTGACCCTTACTGTCCTATACTAATACTGTGTATACCTTGGTTTCCCAGTGTACTGCACCAATACTTAGGTGGTGGGAATTGGGGGTGTGACTTTGCAGTCTCACCTGCCCTGAGGGCCTCAGCATCTATGTAACCTGAGACCCAGGAGGGGTGTGTGACCAGGTGGCACCTTTGGCCTAGGAAGTGAGACAGAGCAGGAGGAGGGGGTCAGAGGTCAGGTGGCTGGAGGCTGGCAGTCGGGGGGGACTGGAGGAGGGGGAATCCAGGGCGTCTGGCCCAGGATTCCCAAGATAGACTTGGCTGAAAGTCACTGATGTCTGTAATGGCAAGCTCTGTTCTACGCAGCGTTCCTGTCAATGAATAAACCTTCTGTTTTACGCTGGCTGAGAGTCCCGTCTGACTGCAGAGTTGGGGTGCGGGGCCCTCTGGCTTCCCCAGGAGCCCTGCCTGTGCGGACTCGCTGTGGGAAGCTCACGGTGTGGACGGGGATGCTGAATGCTTCCCGAGGTCAGACCCAGGAAGGTGGAAGCTGTGTAAGCTTCTTGCCTGGAGACAGTCTGCTCCCAGAGATGTTTCAGAGTAGCAGCCGTGTTAGTCTGTATCCGCAAAAAAGAAGAACAGGAGGACTTGTGGCACCTTAGAGACTAACAAATTTATTAGTTATTTATTAATTTATTTATTTTATTAATAAATAAATAAATTTATTTATTATGCTCTAATAAATTTGTTAGTCTCTAAGGTGCCACAAGTCCTCCTGTTCTTCTTTTTGCTCCCAGAGAGGAGGCCAGCCCCCAGTCCTGACTGGCTTTGTATGGAGTAGTTCTGTGACCGCTGGTATCCGCTATAAGCACTCTTGCTGCTGTAAGCTGTGTCTACATTAGGAGCTCTGCTGGCGAACTCTTTCTAGTATGGACTAACTGCCCCACTATGTGCTTAATGGGGCATGATCTCCAATGCTGAAGCATTTGGACCTGGTAGCATTCTACACCAATATTGTACGTCCGCTTTAGACACTGCTATGGCCCGTTGCCATAGCACGGGAGCACCTCCCAATCCTTGAGTGTTTAGCCTCATAACCCTTCTGTGAAGCAGGGCTATTGCTCCCATTGAGGAAATGGGGAAACTGAGGCACAGAGCGGCTAAGTGCCTTGTTCCAGGTCAAAGGAGAAGCCTGTGGCTGAGTTGGGAATTGGCCCTGCGTCTCCTAAGGCCCAGGCTCATACCCTATCCTTAAGAACAGGTATAAATGACTAGTGCAAGGCAAATTGAGGGTTGAGTCCTGGGTGCTCCAAGCCATCCAGGTTTTCCTTGAACAGCGAGTGCATCAGCATTTCCTGTCAAGGGCACTGCATGCAAGTTTCTCTGCTAGGTGGCACCGTGCCCCCTGCTGGGGCATGAGGGAATTGCTTCAAGGGAAAAACTGGCTGGATTCTCCTTGCTGCTCCTCTTTGGGGATAAGAAATGTCTTTGTTCCCCGGAGAGGGGCTGGAATGCGTCCAACAGACCTCCCGCTCCAGCTGCTCTGACCTGCCTTCTCTGCTAGGAACGCACAGCCGTGGGGGCCTTTAAAAACAAAACCTGGCTGAACCACGCCATGCACAATTCTCCCCCTGGGGAGAGAGCATGAGGCACGCGGGAGGGATGTTAGTCGCGTCACTTAGTGCATGGCTGGAAGATGCTCAGATCCTACAGGGATGAGAACCTACAGAGGACAGATCAAGTGTCTGGTTCCTTCCTCGCTGCAGTGGGGGCAGGCTCAGGCACTGGGGGCTGGCTCAGGCTGCACGGGAAACATTTCTGGTTGAGGCTCCTTGGTTCGCATCTGTGACCCGGCACCAATTTCTGTCGCCAAATAGCTAACGGAAAGAAACTTCAGCCTCTGGGCAGCTCACAGACTTTCCACTTTGCCTAGTTACTACTGGTCATGTGGTGATTGGTTGCCCAAGTCACATGGGATGGCTCCTGTTCCTGGATTGGATGACTAGAACTCTTAAAATGGTGGCTGAAGGTTAAAAAAATGAAGAGCAAGTGTGACATGCTGTATTATTGGGGGTCTACATAGAGGATAAGCGCCTACTACTGCTGGCAGCCAACGGAGTTACTACTTCTGCTCAAGTGGTAAAGGTCTACTCTGCATTTGAGCAGCCTGTGTTTTCAGCCTTGCTGGGGAGATGTCCAGTCACTGTGCTAGGTGCTGTACATTATTTATTAGGTGCATTATGGTAGCACCTATGTGCCTGTCACGGATCAGGACCCCATTGTGCTAGGCACTGTCCAAGCAGAACCAAAAGACCGTCCCTGCCCAAAGAACTTACCCAGCAGGT